ACGTGTTTGGTGAAAAAGCTGATTGATAAGCCTGATAAGCCGAAAAACAGTGTTGTCAAATGGCCTGTAAGAGATACAACAGAATGATTGGGATAATCACTTAAAATAAGAATGAATAAAAGTAAAATTGTTAAAATAGGAGTTTAATGCAAATGAGTAAATGACGCAGATATTAAGATAATGAGTTTTGTGTGTGGAGAGTTGTGTGCAGAAAAGAAAAATGTGTAAAAAAATGCTATGAACAACAAATTCTTTACCAGAAAAGGAAAGTGAAAATTTAATTGAGACGAACGAAAAATAAAATTTGAAAGTTTATTCATGGACGGAGGAGAATATAGTTTTGGGAAAACTATCAAATAGGTCTTTCTACTATATCAAAAAAGTCAATTACGTTCTCGTACTTTAAAATCAATCAATTAAGCACTCGAACTCCTAAAAAATGTTCAATTGGGCCGTTTAGCCGGTGAAGAACAAGTTTGTCGGTTGCAAGTCTACGTGGACTTCCACTTGCCTATGTTTTTCTTTTCGTTTTTTTGTTACCTTCTTTCTTCTTGCTTGCTATTTGCACACTCATTCGCACCTACAAACCAGAGGAATGAAAATGAGAAATTCAACTTTTTAAAAAAATTGAAAAGTTCAGAAATTTTGTCTCTTCCCGTTCTCACATCCCTTCTCACAAAGGAGATGAACTAAATCTCGAACTGCCGCGATCTTCGGAGTTGTAGCTTGTGGCCGCCATCCGGAGTCATCCCTCAGTCTCTCACTCACAGGCTAAGCAAACGGCGAGGCGCAGCCAGAACAGAGTGGCGTCTTGAAATATTGATGATCAAATGCAGGCTGGCTGGATAGGTAAATATGGCGGCCGCTGAACTAAATTGCAGAGGACGGCAAGGTACACGCCGGCACACAAGTGTGGTTGAAGAGGATGCCTGCAATGCGGTGGGAAGCTTACAATTGCTTCGGCGCGTGGTGGGTCAATGGTCGTTCAGTCTCATAAATGCCGGAGGTTGCTGTCCGGGGAGATGAAGAACGGTGAGGTAGGGGTGAGCACGGTTGGTTAACCGGATTTTGGTTAACCGAATTTTCGGTTAACCGAGGTAACGGTTACTAAATTTTCAATACCGCTATCCGTAACATAATATCGGTTAACCGTAAATCAGTTAACCGTATATCGGTTAACCAAAAATTCGGTTAACCACTAACGGTTAACCAATAAACCATAAAACAATTAACAAGAAATTTATATACTTCCCAGAACAAAAGCTCATAATACTGGTGGGCTCAGTACTTGTCGCCCATGCAATAACCTAGCAGGAGTAGCAGGTAATGGTGTAGTTGTCTAGTTGATTCCGTTTAAAGCACAATTATTATTATTATTTATGATTTTGGTCATTAATTGGTTGACAGCTAAAAGAGCCGCATTTTGACAATTTTTTGAGCTTTGAGTTTTATCATTATCCTTAATAAGCTCTTTAAATGTGACCTACGAGGAGAGCGGTTGTGGCAATAACTGTGGGAGACTTTCCAATGACATCGATCGACTCTGAACCGGAAACAAGATATTACATAGTATAATTATTCAAAATTTCACTACCGGTTAACCGAAGTTAACATAACTTCAACTGTCAACATACCACGAACCGCTTCTTCTTTGTGGTTGGTTAACGGTACCGCGAGTTTTAAAAAATCCAGTACGGTGAGGGATGCTTGCAGAGGGATAGGGAAGAGAAAGATTAACTGGAAGACTAGTTGGAAAAATAAAGAAAAATAAAAGAACAAAGACGTACTGGTTGTCAAAATAAGCTAAAAAGTACTGTAATAATAAAATATTAAGAAAAGCCACGTGTATGGTCCACGTAGACGGTCAACCGGGAAACTTGTTCCTCACCGGCTAAACGACTCAATTGAAAGTTTTTTACTAGTTGAAGGGCTCAATTGATTGATTTTAAAGTACGAGGACCTAATTGACTTTTACGACATAGTATGAGAACTTGTTTGACAGTTTTCTATATAGTTTTTATTCTTTTGGGCTAGAAGTGTAATGATGAAAAATCATTTGTTCCATTGGGCTTAATACTTTGGACCCCATATCATGTACGAGGCTACGAGCACAGTCTGCCCATCATAATATAGCCTATGCAGTGCTTTTTTATTAGTATGGGTGACAAAATGATCTCAAATTTATTTGATAAGAATTTATGAACTAGAAACAAAAAAATTTGAAAATTCAAAATGGGGTATATAATTTCTATCTAAATAGGAGTAAATTATGTTAATCATATACTGTAATTATTTTGCCATATATTGTATATACGAGAAATTAGTAGTGTTGTGTTAATACCATAATTTTAAGTAATTTTCAGTCATGTCATTCATATTTTGGGAGAATATAATGCTTATATTGTAAATATCACATGACTTTTACTTCTATTTGAGAAAATCCATGCTTATTTTTCTAGATTAGCATAACTAAGTTTTATTCTCTCGGGTTTGATTAGATTGAAAAGAAATTCCAGATATAGTTTTTAAATACGCGCGCAGTATGTAATTTTGATTGTCAAAAAATGATTTACATATTGGCAGTAAATAATAAGCTATGTTGTTTTTTTAGAGAAGAAAACTTGTATTATAATAATACCAAAACCATTACATCATCATGCTCAAACCTACCTCATTTTATTGACTTTCTTAAGCCAACAAGTCCTCTCACTCTCAGATCAGACGTAGAGTAGACCACTCAAATCTGAGTGAGACTTTTCCCAACGTGCACGAGATTCGAGGCTAATGTCACCCTAATAAGTATGATTAAACTTAAAACTTAAAGTGGTCAAACATAAAACTTAAAGTAAATGCAAATAAATAACTAGTAGGCATCAGATGAAGACTATCCTCTCCATCTTTATTATGAAACCTCTGCAAACTTTTTAATGCTGTGTCGAGCGAGTTAGAGAGCTGCAACTCGCCTCCTTCCCGTTTTTTAGCCCCTGCGCCTCCACCTCCATGTTGTCTTCCTTATCCTGATTGACCCTCATACGCTTTTACTCAGCCCTAACATCTGTCTGCTTTTGAGCTTCTCCCATATCCAATGACACCTTATTACCAGAACTAAACCCATTCCCCTCCTTGTTGCCTGATTGACCCTAGTCGTCTTTGTTTTGAACTAGACTCTTCCCAGTCGATACTAACCACTTGTTATCTCCAACTTGAGAATTGCCCTTAGAAGACCTAAGCCATGGCCCATACGCTTATCCTCTGTTCTTATGCACTCCTCCGGGTTGCGAGGACAATATTTCTCAGCATGCCCAATAATGCAACACAGAAAACAGAAACCGTGCAACTTCTCATAATGAAAGTTAATACGGAAGCTAACCCCTTCTTTTTGCAAAACTAACTTCTTTTTCAAAGGCCTAGTTAGATCGAGACTCACTCTTATTCTTATAAACAGGTTCCATTTAACCGAGAAATTATGTTCATCCACTCTTATGAACCTTCCCACAAAGTTTTCATATAAAAGGAAAACTTGGAGAGAGCAGCGCAATTTTTAATAAAATGAAAGAAATAATTACATTTATTCATATGATTTAAATAAAGGTTGTTTACAAAAATGTGACTAGTGACTAGAATAGTAATGAAATCATAGTGATTTATGTTAGTTTGATTTTTAAACTTAAATTACAATGAACCTTTTTTTACTCCAAGGAGGGGGGCTGGGGGGGAGGGGCTCTGGATGGCTGGAGTAATCAGGGTTTGAAACTCGCCCCATTGAGTTTCAAACTCTTATATGCCTAGGGGAATTCGAACTCGAGACCTCGCACTAGGCATGGTAACCTCACAACAAGCTGAGCTGGAATGCTTAGTTTAAAATTAAATTAAATTAAATTACAATGAAACTAGATTGTAGTAAGTATTAATCGTATTTGTGTAAATACGTTTTATTTTAGTAATATATTTAAACCACAAAATGTAATACCCCGTTCCTCAATAAGGTTTTTGCGTCACTCCGTGTTCATCTAACAACCTTAAATTGTTTTTAATATTTTTCTTTGTATATCCGAATTTTTATCAAATTTGAGTTTTACTTTGCCATTTTATAAAACTGCCAAGTGTCAATCTAGTTTCAGAATGTGTATACTTTATTTACTAAAAATAATTTTATTATTAATAGGAATCAATTAACTTTATGATAAGTCAAACAACGTAAATCGAAACGAGAATCTTATTGTTGGATGGAGGAAATAATGTTTTTTTGTTTTTACTAATACCAAGTAATTTCAAATAATTTTGAAGTTAATTTATAATTATATGATTTTTTTTCTCACTCTATCTTTAGGAGTGCCCCCAATAACAAAAGATCTTGGATCCGCCCCTGATTGCGCCTATTACCCGAATTAGTTATAGAGTACCTTTAGAACAAATTGCGCCTATTGCGCCTAAGAGTCCAGTGATGAGGCGCAAAGACTGCAAACTAGAAAGTCTTAAAAATGAGTGCATCCAAATCATCCAAACTAAAGTCAAGTCAAAATTCTCCTAAATTTTACTCAGTATTCGATTGGGTGTATCGAATCATATTTTGTGTTTACCGAGTATGTCTTTCAACATTTTAGAAGTATGAAATAAATATCTCGTGCCTCTCAGGCTCTCACGGTATAAGAGCATCTTCAATGCTACAATGTGCACGGTGCACATGTTGCATGAGAGATTTAGACACAAAATATTGATTTATGATATTTCTCTCTCCTTCTTTCCACGGTCTTATGTGTTTTTGGTAAGTTTTTGTCTGCAGTGTCAACCACAATGTCTACATCTAGACATTATGCTTGACATTGTGAAGAAAAACTTACCAAAATGATGTATGATCCTTCAAATAAGGAGAGAGATATTCTATTTATTGTTTTTTAATTGATTATTTTTCATGACATGTATGCACCATTAACGTTTTAGCACCAAAGATGCTCTAAAAGTATAAAAACAAGTTTAATTTATTTATAAAATACTCCGTAGAAGAGTCTGTTATCACTTATCATGTGACAACAATGAGGTCATAGTAAACAAATCAATTTTTTAAACGACAATCATTAATGGAGTTATAGGTGGAACGTTCACGCATTTTCATCATCTTCGTCGCAAGAATCTTGTTCTTTCCTCGCTCTCCGATCATCTTATTCCCTTCTTTATAGATTTGCCCCTTTTCACCTCACGATTTTGTTCTCATCAACGGAAATAATTGCCTTGTGTTTGCCGCTGTACTTTTTCTGGAAAACCGGTTTGGGTTTGAGAGCTTTTGTTCTAGTCTAGAGGAGAAAGTGCGATTTCAACCGATGGGAAACGCCGGAAGCAGCGTATCGAACGCCCGGCGGAGGAGCAACAGCCACCGGAGGGCCCACCCATCCGCGCCTCCACCGCAGCATCCGCAGCCGGATGTCAGCCCTAACATGTACGTCTTTGCGGCGGCGACGCCTTATCCTCCGCAATACCCTAACGCTCCGCCGTATTACCAGTACCCAGGCTACTATCCGCCGCCTCCTTCCTCTGTGCCGATCACCTTGCCGGCTCCGTACGACCACCACCACCAGCGCATGGACTCGAATTGGGTGAACGGTCGGTACCCTTGTGGGCCCATCGTGCCTCAGCCAACGCCGTATGTGGAGCACCAGAAGGCCGTGACTATACGGAATGATGTCAATCTAAAAAAGGAGACGCTACGGATCGAGCCAGATGAGGAGAACCCCGGGAAATACCTCGTAGCTTTCACCTTCGACGCCACCGTTGCAGGAAGGTGAGCTGCTATTTTATCGACCTTTTTTTCTGTCCAGTTTCCATATTAAACCTTGTTCCTCTCTTTAACAAAGCTTTTCTTTAATTGCCAGTTCTAGTGAATTTTTTGAGTGGTATATATGACCTTAGAGACTAGTGACTATATACTACGCCTTGATTTTTTGTTTCAATGGGGTTTGCTATGAATTCTATAGTTACCAGGGTTCTAATGTGCAGTATATTTCCTTCTTTTGTCATTTTGTTCATCCATGGGTGATAAAAATTCAAACTTTGCTTGAAAGTTTTGAAATTTATTTCTTTTGTACTTACCAAAAAGAATCTAATTCAATGATGCCCTGGTGGGCCTGCAGGGCCTTGAATGTGGTACGTGTCTTCTCTTGGATCAATAATCCGTATGTTATATAATCAGGTGTTTGTGAAATGTCATCTTAAGGAAAGATGACGAAATTGTCATTTTAGTACCTTCTTTAAAAAAAGTGTTTACCAATTGATGACATTTTACTCCACTAATTGAGTTCCATACTTCCATTTAGAGTTGAGGTGACTTATTAAACTTGTTCAAACATGTTATTACGATGCACCTCTCCCATTCTATGGAACTATTTTGTTTGATTCAATGTGGGCACAAATGTTTAGGATGCATATCAGCATATGTATAGAGGACCTCACAAGTCCAAACTTTTTTCTTCTCCTGTCATCTGAACATTTTATCAGGGATTTCAGATCGAGTATTAGTCAAAAACCATGCATGACTCACCAATCACTGTCATAAAGGTTCTGACCTTTTTTGTGTGAGGTAGTTCTGACATGATCATTTGTGTATGTATACACACGTGTATTGCTTCCCCTTATATTCTTAATTTCCAAAATATAAAATAAAATGACACGCCCTCCGTAAAATTTGGTAAAATTTGTGTGATTCTAAATCATTCTTATTTTATTCTGAGTTTATCAATTCAATATCAACCACATAAATCTACTTTTCTTAATAGTCGTGTCACCTCCTCATGTCCCAATGTTAGTGGGACGTAGGTAGTAGTTAACAACACCCATCTTTGCAATGTATTTTTGTTAATGCAAAGTAATTATCACTTCTTTTCTTTCAAATATTGCTTAAGAGTTTGATTTCCTCTTTACATGCAGCATGACCATCATTTTCTTTGGACAAGAAGGTGAAGACTGCCACTTGGCCCCGGCAAAGGAAGATCTGCTTCCACCCGTGATAGTTCAATTCCAACAAGGTTTGGCCCAGAAGTTCAGACAGCCCTCTGGAACGGGAATAGACCTTTCAATGTTCGATGAAGCTGAGTTGTCAAAGGAGGGAGAAATGGATGTATATCCCTTGGCAATTAAGGCAGAGGCATGCCCAGATGACCAGAGTGATGAAAACCCACTTTCTGGGCCTACCAATTCTCAGATAACCCAAGCAGTGTTTGAGAAAGATAAAGGTGAATATCACCTTAGGGTGGTTAAGCAAATCTTATGGGTCAATGGAATGAGGTATGAGTTGCAAGAGATATATGGAATTGGAAACTCCACTGATGGAGAAAGTGAGGAAAGTGAGAATGGGAAGGAATGTGTCATATGCCTATCTGAACCTAGGGACACTACTGTTCTTCCCTGTCGGCACATGGTAATCTTTGATGTATATTTACCTCTTCATTTCTCAAAGAAAGTATTCTACTTTTGGTCCCATGACTAGAAGGTCGTATTGCCTTTTTTGCATGAAAGTACGATAAAAAATACAATAGACGTAAATGTTGTTCAGTCTAATTCTTTCCTAAAATAGAAATATGAAATAAAGAATTTACATTCGGTATCCAACTTTCATTTTTGGGACTAAGTCTTGGGATGTTGCTGTTGTTGTTTGTATTCAACTTTCGTTTTTCCAGTTCTGGTGCTTGGCTATGGATTTCTTGTCACTTTTGGTCCTTCTAGGCCAACTTCTATTTGATTCCCTCTTGTGTTTACATCAGATAAGTGGCCAGAACTACCAAAAGTGGAAAATTTTCATAACTGTGGTACCTTCCATGTAAAAAGTGATAGTTAAAAGTAAAAATGACCTGATAATTATTGGACTAAAAGTGTAATATTTTCTCTCTCAAATGATATTCAGAATTTCAGAAAAGCCTGAAATAGTGCTAGTTTATATGCACTATAGTTTTGCCTCGGACTTGAAATTCAATGAGAGTCCAATGGACACGATTTTTGCTTTTATGTTCAACAATTCTAGGAGCAAAATATAATCCTAGTACCCCGTACCCTAACTATTGGATCGATATCACTTTGGTACCTTAACTAATTAATTTATTGTATCCATAGAATAAGCGCTTCAGTACCAATAAGTAGTATCAAAGCATGTCACGGGTTTGAATGCCACGGAAGGCGTGCTGTGCAATTAATGGCTGGCAGGTGATGGGGACTGTTGGATGTGTGGGCGAGCATGGTGTGCCTGCTACTCTTTAAGAAATGAGAGTTGTGACTATCAGCAAATCAGAATTTGCTTTTGTTGTAGTACTAAGCGCTTAGATCTAATAGATACCTCAACGAATGAAAAATGTTACTCTGTACATTTTATGTCCGCTTGAGTGAGTGGGCACTTGACAGCGGATACATGCAGTCAGAATCCATATTAGGTTGAGGGAGAGCAGCAGTGTATAAAGGTGCTTTTCCACGAAATGATTAAGGATGATTTTAAAAGATGTTTAGAAGATGCTTATGTGTCAAGAATCATTGTGGCAAACACCATCCCATGTAAGGGTGGAGAAGGTAAGTTCGGATATGGGAACTGGAATTGTCCTGGAAAAGGGGCAACCAGAATGATCCCAGAGGAGGTATAGTGTGCGGTTCCATATTTTGTAATTTGGGTAGTGGAACCGGAAATTCTAGTTCTGGTTCCATTCATTTGGTCGGAATCAATTGTTAAAAAAATATTTAGTTTGGTACATGAACCCTAACCGCTAAGAACTGAATTGGAACTGGTGCTGGTTACATCTACCCCATTTCCAGAACTGGTGGTAATGGGACCATGTTTCCAGAAATGGAACCGAACCATTCTTTTTCAACATGACGCGATGGGACATCTGACTATATTTTTTCTGCTAACTGAAGTTACTCAACCAATCTTTGCTGGAGTTCATCTTGTCTTAATGGGGAATGTAACATTGTCATGAGTATAGGCCTATAGGGTGCATCTGGGTACAATAAGAAGTTGAAGTATTAAAATGACTCTGATCAAACAGTTATGGTATCGTTTGGGCATTTGGCTCACTTTAGGACACTGTTATGAGAGGAATGTACTTTGCCAAATTGATTTGAATATCAGAATAATCAAATACTTATATTACTTGATCCTTGATTGCAGTGCATGTGCAGTGGGTGTGCCAAGGTTTTGAGGTTTCAAACCAATAGATGTCCTATTTGCAGACAGCCCGTGGATCGCCTCTTGGAGATCAAAGTCAACAATGACACTGAGGAATGAAACATTTGTTGCTTTTATCCCCCTTTGTAAAGCTCTTTCATTTCTCTTTTATGTGTGTTCTTTTCCATCTTTTCTTCTTCTTTCAGTGATAGAAGGTGTGTCCCAATTTCAGAAAAAGTTGCTCAGTTGGCAATTGCATAGTTGATGCTTTGCGCAAACATTATTCTCCTTATTGATGTATTATGACAAATGTTGAGCATCGACTCAAATGGATGTTAATATAAAAGTGTGGTATTCTGGTTGGTACTTCTTAGTGTGTAAAAGCTAATGCATGATTATCAACTCGTGGATTACAACGTTTCTGGATGCGGATTCAATCTCAGGGTTCCTTTCCATTCACCTGAAGTGTTGAACTGGAACTGGAATTAGGTACCCTTTGATTTTGGGCTAGTTATGATTACTTGGCCAATTTGGAACAGGATTTCATGATCGGTTGAGGTATAGAATAGAGGACCAATTACTTCTAATTAGGGATGGACCTAGTCCACCGATCCCGACCGAATCAGAACCGGGCCCGACACTTTTTGGAATCGGACGGGGACCGGTTTTCTGGTTCTGGCAAAGGGCTGCCCCCCTGCCTCTGTTTCATAACCTGGTCCCGGGTGTGTTTGAGGTGTTTCTTGGGACCAAGACTGCCTGGTCTAGACCCGGTTTGGTCTTAGGGTCATTTTTTTTCATTTCAATGATGGATGCTCCATTTTGACAGTTTGAACATTGAAGAGCCTCTAATGGCTAAAAACCGGCTAGTTCAACCTCATGGGGAATTGGGGGGTGGGGTGTTGGGGGTGGGGTGGGGTTGGTTGTGGTGGAGCGTAAAAAATTTCTATCAATCCATTTCTAATATTTTCCTACACCTTCCTACACTTAATTTGTCATTTTATTATTCTCTCTACAGCTCTACTCATATATTCTTCATCTTAAGTAAAGAATGGTTGTTTAGTTGCTAACTAATAGGGTTTCATAAGGTATCATAAAAAAAGCGGACGTCTCTAGGTTTGATTCTACCGGCGGTGGTGGTGCGGCCGTTTCTGTCCGGAGGTTTCCTGCCTTGGTGCGCATCGTCTTTGCTTCAATCGGTGACATACCTGGCTCTCTTCAATTTCCGAAATTGGAGACGAGACGAAGGGTGAGACCTGGGTTTAATTCGGTGCTGCGGCTTCGCTCTTCACAGCAGAAGACCAAGAAATTACAAGGGCTTCTTTGTTGCTTGAAGATTATCGCTTGGGATTCAGTAACAACGGCGACAGATCCGACTTGGCCGGGGCTGGGGGCAATCGGGCAGCAGTGCGGTGCAGCTCAATTGGACCGTGGCTCCATTGTTCTCAGGGAAGGATGATCATCATAAGCTGGAATTGCGGGGGGAAGATTCGGGATCGAAAATTCAGGGCCAATGGCGGTGATCTCCTACGGGCGAAAGAAGACGGAGGGATGGCGGTGATCTCCGCCGTCCGCCGCCATGGAGGAATTGTGAGACTAGGGTTTGAAGGACTATTTCTATTTTTGTTTTAGTTTGCTTGTGTTTTTACTTCATTCGTCATCTTGTTTTGTTTGTTGCATACGCTTATTTCTATCACTCTTATATTAGGTAGGGGTGATGAGGGTTTTGCTCTGGCCACGTTTGGCTCATTTAGAAACATTACAGAACAAGCGAACCATATTGCTCTCTGCCTAGGGTGATTGGTTCTCAAGCTGGTTCGATGATTGGTAGCTGGAAGTGTTTCCTTTATCTCTTTTGTCCCCTGCTGAATGGTTTATTATCAATATAAGCCACCTTGTTACAAAAAAAAAAAGTAAAGAATGACTGGGAGTGTTGGTTCCAGCAAAAGTTTCCTAACCAGTTCTTCGGGTAGTCGAATCCTACTTTAATTTAATATCCCTTAAATGATAAATGTATGAATAATTTATGTGCTTCCATATATACATTACTGATTATTATTTTAAAATCTTGCTCGCACAAGTTTTAATAAAATATTCAAAATTGCATAATTGAAATAACAAATGGGTTGTTTTAAAAAAAATTACACTTCCATAAGAAAGATGAAAATAGCGTGGATAAGAAAGATGAATATTAACTACATATAAGCTCTTTCAAGAGAACCCCAAAAAGGATAGAAAATGGGGATGAATTTTTTAGACACCCACTAAAGAAAATGGGAATTGAAGGAAATTATGACGTAGAGGGAAATACTTTTACGGTTTACCTGACTTGTTTGCTTATCTGGGTGGGTTTACAATTCCTTTTAAAAAAGCACTTCTCAGATTTTGGCTTTAAAAAGCACTTATTTTTCCAAACACTACAACTTTTATTTTTCTCGGCTTCCGCGTCAAAAGTGTTTTTACTTTTTCTATTACACAAAAAACACTTATTTTACCAAACACTACCCACTTTTACTTTTCAAAATCACTTTTTCTCAAACACTATCAACTTTTATTTAATCACTTCTCCCCATTTCATTAAAAAAAGCACTTTTTAAAAAGCAGAAGTTGTTGCAAACAGACCCATAATAGAAAATCTAAAATGCTTTCTTGGTACTACTCGCATGTTAGTTGATTTTAAATTCATTAAGTGCAAATAGAATAAGAATGAATTGTAACGATTGAAATATTATCATATACTCCCTCAGTTCCAAATTATTTTGCAAAATCAACATTTTTTGATCAACCGATAATAAAAGTCAATCCTCTCTATCAATAATTAACTCAATTTTTAATAATTAAAATTTATATATTCAGAAACTACATTAAAATATCTTCAAAGTTGCAAACTCCAAATTAGAATATAATAAAAAATTGACATCCTAATTAAGCAAATAAACTGAAACTGTTTGACAAAAAAAATCAAATTTGCAAATCAATTTGGAACGGATGTAGTATTCCGTATGATATGGAACAAACTCAATGAGATAAATGAAAAAGGTAAAATAGGACAAAGATAGAAGGTTAAAAGGATATTATTTTATACTACTTTTTACTTATTAACAAATGTCTTTGGATTTAGTTCAAGGACATTTCGATTCAATTTCATATGTATCGTATTTCTACAAATAGATTTCTTTGATTTGTTCAAGTAATATCAATTTAAATAAGTAACATAGTTATAATAATCAATATGATTTTTCTTCTAATAAAACTTTCTTGGGGGCAATTTTAAAATTTTATAGGGGTAACAATCAAAATCATTGGGGGCAACTATTTTTTTGATAATGAATACCTAATTATATACTAAAAATTTAGAATACTAATGTATTTCTTAAAATCATAAAACTATAAATAAACACGAATATACGAACCAACCTTTATTTGAATGAACAACTATGCTCAAGAGAAAATTGAACTGATTGGCCGTATGTTAAGTGTTAACATAGGGTAGCTAGTGAGCTAGTCTACTGAATTTAAGGTTTTGTTGAGTGAAAATTTTGGTACGAAGAATCCAAAATTAAATATAGCACATTATAAGAAAATTTAATTATAAGCAAATTGCTTAAATAGGAAAAAAACGTTTGTAAATTTAAAATAACAACATTATGTTTTTATTGCCTAAATTGGAACAATTACAGCCATGTGTTGGAAATATTGCCACTTATGACACTGTTATCGTATTTAAAGTCCTATATGTGCCTGGTAATGTAAAAGTGTTGGTACCGATATTATGTGTAAAATTTAAACAAAACAAAAACAAGCTAAAAATAGATATTTAAGAAAAAACAAATTTTTATAAAGTTTTTGAAAAACCCGGGAGAACAAGTTGCAATGTCAAACCCCAAATCCCAATTATAATCAATGGTAATGATTAATTTTTGGATTATGCAACAGCAAAAACATAATCAAAAGATGCCTAGATCATTTGATGATACATTTTATAAAAAGGTACACACATTCTGAATTTGGAGCAGAATATAAATTAAGTTGTGATAACAAAATTTAAAACTAACACAAATTACAAAATACAGACAGAATTTACATATATAATATATACTAGTATCAATGTAATGAAGAAGTAACATGAACAAAATACTGGATTTCATGGTCATACAAACTATGCAAGCTAAACCTGATTTCTTTACTGAGTTCCATGTTTCTTAAAATGAACTGCAACTACCTGCCAATGAGAACCTCCCACTTGCACCTAGTGTCTTCACCATGATGTTACATTTGAAGCCATTGAGCCAGCTGGGTCGGATTGACTATGCCAGGGATGTGGGCGCCGTCACTCTTCAGCAGGCTTGCCACCTCATTGTACGTCTGGTTCCCCTGCTCCGGCTCAGGTTCGGTACCAGACTTCCCCCTTCCCACCTCATCTGTACTACTCGCAGATACAGCCTCTGCTCGAGCCTGGTCGAAGATCTGACCAAACACAGTCCCTTTAGTTAAGAACTCGTAGGCCATGTACCCAGCTAAGAGCCGGTTCGAGGAGAATGGTTCAGCTTGTTTTGACGACACCGTAGCTTTGTTAACAGCCATCACTGGACTACTGGGCCACATGGAGTACGACGCAGTTTCCCTCTCTTTCCGATTACGTAACGCTCCGGGTGGAAGGGTTCGCCGTGCATGATAGCTCATCTTGATCGTTGATTACAAATTTACAATGGGGTAATCTAACCAATCAGACGATTGGGTGCCACGTGAGTAGAGATGATTTTTTGTTGACCCCTAGAAAAATGGTTATTAGATATTGGAGGGCAGAACCATGAGGGCCAAATTCCAAACAGTAAAAAAAGGGGAATGAATATGGAAACAAAAGCAAGGGAAGTGGAACAAAATCAGGTGGGACTCGTTTATGCAAAATGTTCCACAAGTGGAGAGAAAAGTTGGAAGTGGAAGATATGGGGAACATGTTGAAAGTCTGTTCATTTTCCAACCGAACAAAGGAGATGATTAGAAAAGAAAGCTAATTAGGCAAAAATCAAATTAACCTCAGATTTTTATCCTTGTTCTATGAAATAAATTTTGAGAATCTGGTCAGCTTCTTACTAATTTAGATTAAGACAATGTCCACAATTTCTATTATCTGCCACTCCGAAATCTGCACTAAACAAGTGTATTTACTCCTTATTCACTAGGCATGCATACTCACCAAACAATTTTATCATATGTTAGGTAAAGTAGTAACAACAAACTCACCACTCCTCAAAAAACATCTTACATAACTAAAAACAAACCCATCTAATAAAAGTTACCCTACTGACTCCTCAGTGCGCTAAATACGGTACAAGATGTTTGGTGTACTAAACATGTGAGATATGCGCTAACATGTGCGCTAAATATGGTACAAGATTATGGACAGGCTTCAACCCAAATATACCAAAATTTGATCATAAAAGGGTTCAGTGCATGAATAACCTTAACACGGGGGGTTTGACGCATCTTTTAAATCAAAGGGACTAATGCGCTAGATTTCTATATCACAAGGGGGTTTGGTGTATTAAACCCTTAAAATAAGTATCACAAAAATGTGAACAAGAAGTAGGGCTGGTTCTTCAATATGGTCTTTTTGTGTTGTGTCTAACAGTCTTGCCAAATATATCTATGCCATATTAGATAGGGAAAACTGTCAAATAGGTCCTCGAACTTTCATAAAAAAGTCAATTAAGTGCTTCTATAGGAGACTCTGTCCGGTCATCGTGATTTGGGGCGGTTCCCGGTGGAATTTTTTGATGAATTTTTTTGAGCATCTTAATCATCAAGTCTAGTTTACTCATACCAAATTTCAGCTAAAAATTTAATCGGGAGCGCATTCAAATTAATTTGAGAACGCAAAAATGTGCAGTTATCTTCAAGAATTAATTTGAATGTGTTCCCGATTGAATTTTTAGGTGAAATTTGGTATGAATAAACTAGACTTGGTGAATAAGATGCTCAAAAAATTTCATCAAAAAATTCCACCAGGAACTGCCCCAAATCGCGACAGCCAGACAGAACCTCCTATAGAAGGACTTAATTGACCTTTTTATGAAAGTTCGAGGACCTATTTGACAGTTTTCCCTATTAGATATTTCATAATTATGTATAACTATGTGTGTAGTACGCCTTTAAATATATAATACTCTGTCAAAATAAATATATACTCTGTACATATTTATGGATTATGAACTATGTATGTCAACAATACAGAGCATACTTGTTATGGCGTCGCCTAGGCACAGACTAGGCGTCCTGGCGCTAGGGAGTTATCGCCGTCTTCACTCGCCTCGCCAGAAGAAGAATAGTCGCGATAGGCGTCCTCCCGGCGTCGCCTAGGCACGATTTTGCGACAAGTCGTCGCCTTTTTTGCCAGTCAACAACCGTCCGCAGGCCCAGAAAAAAATAGATTTAGGCTTTTAATTGAAAACAAAGCCCAAAGGTATCTGATAATCTTACGGGCTATTTGTTTCCATCTTCGAACTCAAGTCGTAGAGACTAGCCAGACAAGTTGGAGGAATCATACGCACCGCAGCAACTCCAGGAAGCAGGAGGGCTTGCGCGTCCCGCCCTCGCTCAGTCCCTCGCGTAAGCATATTTGCGCTGAGGAGACGACCAGTACGTTCTATCTTTTTCTGGTGTAGTGGAGTAATATTTTAATTAATTAAGTTGTATATTTTTATAAATACGTATATACAGAGTATTTTGTAAACATGGTATGCGTAATTATGCCCAAATATATTATACTTCGTATACTATACTGAGTTTACGTAGTTTAACTGTTTGTAAAGTATACAAATATATGAAAAATGTAAATAATTAAATACGTACTTTACATTTTGTAATATATTAGTAATATATAAAGAAATACAATTTAATTAGTAATGTATTATATTATATATATATATAATAATATATATAAAAAAATATAATATAGATTATGCGACTAGTCGCCTAATTGTCGCCTAGGCGATAAGGCGGTAGGCTGGCGCCGCGACTCGACTTACCGCCGTGACAAGCATGATACAGAGTATATGTTAGCAAAAACTTTACATGATTTCATAGTATTGTGTTTTAAGTAGGAGAAGTCATTACTTTGTGTTGCGATTTCCAGCGGCAGCTGAAGTATATTTGAAATGTTTTTGTGTTTAAATATAAATTAAAACCATGTACCGACTCAATGAATTATGAAGTAAAATAGAAGTTTGATTCTTCCATTCATGTCAAAAATAGACGCAGTATGTTACATTGTTCCCTCCAAATGATTTTCTCTTAGGTTTACATGCAAAAAACATAGCTGCCTATTCTTTTATTAGTACAAGGCAAAAAAAAATCAGTTGGCAAACTTTGAATCCTGTGCAAAACCAATTATACAACATGGTGAAGAGGGTTATAAAGATTTAAATTCAGTTGGCAAAGTTTGAATATTCTCTTCTGAATTGACTTGTGTTAATCTACAAGATTTAACATGTATTACCTGATTTGGAGAAAAAGTGGATTCCAATATTTTGGTGAGAAGATTCGGGTGTATAAATTGTCAAATCTCCTTGATTCGAGTTCTATAAAGTAAACAACAAGTCAGAGTGCAAAAAACGTGAACATCTTCGGCTGTTGTCATGATACATGCAAAGAATAGATTTATAACTAAGGAGTAGATATAAATAAAAAGATTAAAAACAATTCTACCTTGTGCTCTGCCAGATCTATGCAGATGGAACACCAGTAGGGATTATTAAATAATCAATTCTTCTTTACGAATTGAACTGCACGGACAGGATAAAATCAGAGGGAGGCAACCGGGCAAGATTAGCGGGGCAATTGAAGGTTAAAGTTTGGTCAAATTAAAAGTCAAATTTGCAGATCTAAATAATACGAATTCCATGTCAGTGATTTATACTTTTTCTATGTTTTTGTGAAAGGGGGGGGGGGGGGGGGGGGGTAAGAGAGGAAGGAAGAACGTTTCGTGTGAGGAGAAAGCGAAAGGTGGAGGAAGCATAAGATTATTTTTAAAACATAAGGTTTTTTTCCTACTTGGGTCTTGCATGCGAGCTACACTCTTTTCTTGAATTCTGCTGACTTTTGTGCTACCTTCTTCCTTCTGAATAAGGGTATGAGCTTCTCATCCCAAGGGTGTCACACATGCACTTTGACACCCTTGAATACATTATTTAGTTTGGGTTGGAGCATATTTGGGGTGAATACCTCAAATTTGAGGTTTTCACTTCATGGAATGCGAGCAACCTTACTTCTCTCAAAAATTAACACTAGGGACAGAGGCACATATAAACATGTGGTGTCAGTTGACACGCTAAATATAAACAACACCATAAGTTCTTGTAAAAATAGTGTCAATGTATAAAACCTTCTCCTTCTATCTCACAATTTTTCCATTTATGATTTGAAAAGTAAAACAATAAAAAAATTTGCTATAATATTTAGAAAGTTAAACTATAAAATTTTAATAAAAAATATTAAAAGAAAATCAGAAGGCTGTTTTGACTTTTTTAACAGATGTAATAAAATGGTTTTATTGTGAGTACATAAGGACTTCATACGTTTTGACTTTTATTTAGTTATAATGGACAAATGTTGCAAATGGAATTAACATATGATAAATAAAACTGAACACGAAAAAAATATTAACAACAAGCGTTTGATAGAAAATTATAAAAAGGTCATACATTTGTACTAATTTATTCTATAGTGTTATATATGTGGATTTTCTTATAATATTAGAAAAAATAGAATTTATGGAGAAAAAATGACTACAATTACTATGTGGACACTATAATTATCACTCCAAAATAAATTTTAACATGATCGTGTTGATTACAATTATAGTTATGTACACTGTCTATTTAAAAAATCAGTTTTGCGTTCAAAAAATGTTTCAATAACTAAATCAGATGGCAATGAGACACTACAAATATATAGGTGTACGGCTATGTATGCAAACTAATCGTATTTAAATATAAGTATATGTTTTGGAAGATAAAAATGTAGCAAATGAATAAACATTTCTGGAGTGATTTTTGACTTACAGAGAGACATGTTTTTTGAAAATAAAAAACATTAATTTTCTCTGCCATTTGGAAAGCTTAGGTAAAGATTTGATATCTACTTGTAATATCTTTCTGAATGGTTCTGGTTGACGCAAGTGAATGAATCAAAATGGGTTTCTGGATTTGCTAAGGTTTCAACACAAGGATATCACTAATTTAACTAAATATTTATCAAAAGTTATGAATTAATGAACTAATCAATAAAAGAGGACTGAAGGAATACCGGAACCACCGGATGGTTGGAAGTGAAAATCGAGAAGTGTCGATTGGCCGAACCGCCGAAGGGTGAGTGGCGGAGAGCGGGAGACGGGCGTGATGGCGGAGTGGTGGCGCCTGACGGAGGGTAAAGCCGGGAAGGGAGCCGGCGACTTAGCGGAGCGTTCGACAGTTTGGGGACGATAGCTGTCGATGGATCCAGAGATGCTTACGCCTTTAGATAATATTGGGCCTTTCGTCAGTTGGACCAGATAAAACTTTAGGGCTGAATTATCAGTCTAATCAGGCCTATTTCAAAGGTAAACATTTGGGCCTAAACAGTTTTAATTTTTTTGGACCTGCATCCCCCCGCATCTACTGTTCTTCGGGGCCACAACAGCAATCCGGCAAACCCTAATTTCACTTTAAAGCTCTCTCTTTCGCCGATCTTCTGTATAGCTTAAACTCCTGATAGCCTGAAATCTTTGGTGGTCTTTGGAAGCTTCTCCGGTAACTTCAATCATTTTTTTCTATTTTTAATTGACCTGCTCACTTTTATATCTATCTGTTAAAGTAGTACTCCTCTTGAAAGTTTGATTTTCGTTGAGGTTATGAATCTCTGTTTTATATATGAAGAACCTAAGCATAACCAATTCAGATTGCTTCCAATTTGTTTTTCGTTGTGTTCTGATTCAGTGTGCGAATTTATCAAAAGTTGGTCTATGAGGTTTTGGTTTACCACCGTATCCTCTATCAATTTTCATTGTATCTCAGTTTAAATGGCCTGATTGAATTATTTAGTTTATTGAAAGTTTAATACAGAGTATACACTAGTGCGTTTCTTGCAAAATATATCACATTTTAATTTTCGTCCTTGCAAAATTATTATTTTTTGCTATAAAATCGTATATTTAGGTACTAAAAATATTAATAAAAAAGGAGCACAATATAACTATTTGCAGCCTATCAAGGTATTGGTTTATCCAGTAGCCCATTTAAATCTACAGCCATGATGTGGAAATTCTCAACCCAAAAAATGGTTTGAGCGGGATTTTGTCTTGGGATATTGTAGTTCTATTAAGTAGAGGATGCTGTCATTTTTCAAATCTGAATGTCATAAAGTTTTTCGGAAGACCCAAAAAGAAAAAAATTCAAAGTTTTAAGGGAAGGAAGAAGTATATATTAAAGATTATGTCTTAAATTTCGCTGTTCTGACCTTTACTGTTACTTGGACTCATCAAATATAAATGGCAATCAAGTCATACAAATAGATTTTAGCGTCTGTGTTTCTGAATGGAGTCCTCTCTTCTGTTTGCCTACAGGTTATCACTTTGTTATTCAGAAATGGCAGTCACATTCCACAACCTTAGTTCTGATTCTGGCCTCCAGAAGCTTGATGAGTACCTTTTGAGTCGTAGTTATGTCACTGGGTGGGTCACTAACTTCAGCATTGTTTTCTGTTTGTTTTGTGATCTTAATTTTAATTTTAATCTTAAATTTTAAATTTAGAATATTATAATAATTATTCTGTGATCAGGTATCAAGCATCCAAAGATGACATTGTGGTGTTTTCATCCTTGTCCAAGCCCCCATCTCCACAACTAGTAAATGTTTCTCGGTGGTACAACCACATTGACGCGCTCTTGCGAATTTCGTATGTTCTGAATTCTTTTAAAATCCTCATGCTTGTACCGTCGTAATTTCTCTTGTTATTTGAGCAAATAACTGCAACATCATGCTAACTAAGGCATACCTTTTTGTATTATGGTTGCATAAACTCATAGTATTTTCTATAATATAATATTTTTTTTACTTCCCTTTTTCACCAGTGGTGTAACTGGAGAAGGTTGTGGTGTTATTATCGAAGGTTCTGCACCTGTCACCGAGTGTGTGGCAACACCACCTGCATCTGACCCGAAGGTAACCCAGATTTGTAATTGATCTTGCTTTGGTATGAAAGTTTTATTGTCACTGAGAGCCCGTTTGGTAGTTTACACATTAAAACTTTACATGCAAAATGATTGCATGTAAAATGTAGGGCCGTAATTAGTTTACATGTAAACTAAAAATACAACGTTTGATTATCTATGCAATCTATGACACGCAAACTCTTTACTCATGTTTCAAAAAGGTTTTTAAAAAACTAAAAAACTCCCGTAGTCTAGCTTCAAAATTCATACAAACATCAAATCTTAGAATATTAATCAAATCTAAAGACCGACTAGGAATTTATTAGTGTGTTGAAGTTAACCTCTTGTAGCAATAAGTATAGAGCAACGCAGATGGAGGAGAATTTGTCAATTCGATGACATGGGTGGGCGATTAGAAAATACGAGTTTATTGCGGCCAATATATTTGCTTTGCCATCGCAATCCAATCTACAGAAACTGATGTTGAAATTCTTATCAGATATATTTATTCATTCGTTTTAGAAAATATAAACTAGTTTACCACCCTCCCCCTATGTAAAATACTTTACATGGTACAGTGCAAAATGTTTTAAAAAAGTGTCCTACAGTTTACATTAAATAATCAAACCAAACGGTGTAAACATTTTACATCCTTACATTTCACATGTAAAGTAATTATTTTACATCCTACCAAACGCCCATCCTACCAAACGCCCCCTGAGTGTATAGTACACCTGTTGGCTTGTTTTTTTTTATTGTGACCTGATGATCATATCTTTCTCACTATTTTTTAGCTCTCTTTAATCATCTCACTGTACAAATTGTATGTTATGGTACAGTGCAAAATGTTTTAAAAAAGTGCCATACAGTTTACATTAAATAATCAAACCAAACGGTGTAAACATTTTACGTCCTTACATTTCGCATGTAAAGTAATTATTTTGCATCCTACCAAACGCCCCCTGAGTGTATATACTACCTGTTGGCTTGGTCTTTTTTTTTTTTATTGTGACCTGATGGTCATATCTTTCTCACTATTTTTTAGCTCTCTTTAACCATCTCACGGTACAAATTGTATGTTATGGTGGGCATGATAAAAGTTGGTAGTTTCATTCTTTGCACTGTGTTTAAATTAGTTGTGAATATGAAATACAGGCTGCATCTGCTGAGGATGATGATGATGATGATGTTGACTTGTTTGGAGAGGAGACTGAAGAGGAAAAGAAGGCTGCTGAAGAACGTTCTGCAGCTGTTAAGGCCTCTATTAAAAAGAAAGAATGTGAGTTTTCTTTTTATATTCCTGATTTTTTTATTATCAATATTAATTTGAATGAAACCCCGGGATAACATTACATTCCATAGGCCTGACTACTAAATGTCCTTGAATTTGATTTCTTTTTTTAATTTCAGCTGGAAAGTCCTCCATTCTTTTGGATGTTAAGCCATGGGATGATGAGACTGACATGAAAAAGCTTGAAGAAGCTGTTAAAAGTGTTTCAATGGAAGGATTATCTTGGGGTGCATGTATGTGTACCTTTTTTTTATCTTCACATTGCAAACAAACACACACACACACATATGTATATATCTAGTGTATTGACCTCCCTAAACATTTTAATTGGCATACACTTTATCCATGTTATGAACAGCGAAGAAAATAAAATCTGTGAAAAGTGTTGTTTTCATGTCGATTCAAAGTTAGAATATAAAACAAATCTGATTTAAAGTTTTGTTTGTATACTACATAATAGAAATTTATTTAAAAAGTAAAAAAACAAACATTACCCTAGTATTTATTTTCTTGCAATTTTTGTATGCTTTGTCTTATTTAATTCCCTAGCATCATAACATTAATCCTCCACCCCATTGCATTCAATGCACACTTCTCAAGGCATCATTTCTAGTTTAATAAGTTTGGTACTGGTGGTGGACCTAAAAAATGATTGTTGAAGTTTCAGTGTAGATTTTGTCCTCTGTACTTGTTAGATTCTCAACCATTGATTGCTTTTTCATAGGCAAACTTGTTCCAGTTGGGTATGGAATTAAGAAACTGCAAATCATGCTCACAGTCGTGGATGACCTTGTTTCTGTTGATGATCTTGTGGAGAATCATCTCACTGTTGAACCTATCAATGAATATGTTCAGAGCTGCGATATCGTGGCTTTCAACAAAATATGTAAGCACACTAATCATTCTTCAAAGGAATCATTTTTTCTAAGTGCTACATGCTTAATGACAGCTTATACAATCTTTTTACAGGATTTTTTTTTGCATTTGGGTGCTGGGGGAATGCGCTATACTTATGCTGCCTGCCAAGTACTGCTTCAATCTTATGTGGTTTTGTTAGACGCCGTGTTTTTTTGTTGGGACTCATTGTGGTCTTTTGACTTCTGGTTACTGTTACATTATTGATGTGGAACTTTAGCATAATTTATTGGTAATATGCCTGCTGTTTTATTTTCCTGAAGATTTTAGTGTTCAATGAGCTGCTGCTGTCCTTGTTAGTACCCATCTTCTATTGGATTGATTGTGCTTAAGTGGACTGATTAAGCTTGTTAAAATTTAATCTATCTAGTCTGGTTTTTTACTTCACTGGAACCCAAAATGTTCCAATGATGATTATAATAAAAACCTAACAACTCAACAATTGGACTTTACTGGAACCCAAAATGTTCCAACGATGATTATAAATTTATAATGAAAACCTAACAACCCAACAGTTAGATTCGCCAAACACTTGCAAATTACACATGTTATCATGTTATGTAAGAACTTCACTCAAGCTCAAACGCGTGCATGCTTTTTGTTCATAGTGATAGGTAGGGGTGGACCGGTTCCGGTTCCGGTTCGGGCCCGGTTCGGGCCTGGGCCTGGCCGGGCCTCGGTTCAGAAAAAGGAGGCCCGAGCCCGAACCGGTGGTGGGCGGTTCCGGTTCCGGTTCCGGGCCAGAACCGGGCCGGGCCACCCGGAATGTTTTTTTTTTTTTCTTCTTCTCTTATTTAACCCCCTACCCCTCCCCCTCCACCCCAAACCACCCCAAACCACCTCAAATGGCCCAAAATACCTAATCCAACCCAAAACTTAAAAAAATTTCAAAAAAAAAAAATTAAATTCCGGCCCGAACCGGGCCCGGCCCGGCCGGGCCGGTTCACTAAACTGGAGGCCCGGGCCCGGACCGGTATACCACCGGGCCTGGAGGCCCGAACCGGAACCGAACCGGTTGACCGGGCTGGTCCGGGCCCGCACAGTAGCGGGCCGGTCCGGTTCCGGGCCGGTTGGCCCGGCCCGAGTCCATCCCTAGTGATAGGGTATGATTACTAAATCCATTTGGACCTTTTGGGGATTTTGACTGTTAGGGAATTAGGGATGGGGTGTCATTTTGGGATTTAGGGTATGTTTAGGAGTTAAGGATGTAGATGGTTTATGACCATTCCCTTATTGTTTAAGAGTTTAAAAAATTAGAGATTTAGAGGTGTTTTGAATGGATTTCTTAACTCTTGAAATATTCAATTTTTTAAAGTTCCACCAATTTAGAAAACTTTTGAAGGATAACAAACTAAATGATACGATAAGATTATTTTAAAATGAATGCAAATTTAACTATTTGAATTGAATGTTTGACTTCAATACTATAATTTTTGTGAACCTCCCTTCCAAATTTGTAACTTCCAAATAAAAAGTATTGTTGCTTGCGGAGAGTGGTGGACTCGGGCCGGTTCGGGCCCGGGCCGGGCCTAGGCCCGACCGGGCCGCTGGTTCTGAATAGGTGGGCCCGGGACCGGCCCCGGTAGCCACCGGGTCCGGCCGTCCGGGTCGGGTCGAGTCTCGGCTCAATTTTTTTTCCCCTTTTCCTAATTCCCCCCTCACCCCCAACCCCCCAAAATACCCAGCCCAACCCGAAAAGTTAAAAAAATTGAAAAAAAAAATTAAAAAGCCCGGAACCGGGCCCGAACCGGCTGACTTTTGGGTGACCCGAGCCCGCACCGGGAACCCCCCGGGCCGGGCCAGTTCAGCACAGAACCGGTGTCGGGCCGGTTCCGGGTCGGGCCATCCGGCCCGAGTCTAGGCCGGCTTGCGGTCTTGCACTATCCCTTCGTTTTCTTCTTTCACGACTAATCTTTAAAACCATCCTCTCCTGCCAACAATTTGGGTGGAGTATGTTTTTATGGTACTTTTGTGGGATTAATTATCATATTGTAATTTTCTTTTATACTTCGTATATATTTAGTTGATGTCAATTACTGAGTATATTTATGCAAAGCGTATCTATATTATCATAAGCGTATCTACATCTACTTAGTTTTACTCCAATCAACTAATCAAGTTTGGAAATGTGACGAGTCATCTTTTTCCCGTATTTTTTAACAAGTTAAGAAATGGGAAAATAAAAAGAGAATATTGCCCAAAATAGGAGTAAAAAAGTTTGAAGATTCCAAAATATGATTGTAATAGTGTCATGTTTTTATTTCCAAAATAGGACTAATTACTGCCATGTTTTGACGGTACCGACTTCAAACATGGCATTATTTTCTAAACATGACATCAATTATTCCTATTTTGGGAATAAAAACATGACAGTCATATTTTAGAATTTTCAAACTTTTTTAGTCCTATTTCGCGAACTTTCCCAAATAAAAATGCTCATTTTCAAAATAGATATGGAAAATAAACTAGATGGAAGGATTATCATATTTGAGAATATATTTCAACGAAAATAATTGTTTTTGAATGATTACAGAAATTTGGAATTTTCTTAAATAGTCTTAGAGTTTGAAAGTTGGGTTTTCACACCATTAGTTGTGGGATTTTATTGATTTTTGTGAACACTAGAATACTCAAACAAATGCTTTCTTACACGGAGAGTTAGATCGAAGCATCTACATGGAGCACTCCGAAGGGTTTATAAGCAAATAACATCCAGAGTTTGTGTGCAAATTAAACTCAAGTAAACATTATACGGATTGAAACACGCACCACAAGCGTAATACGAGAAGATATGTGATTTCTTGGTACAAAGTGGTTACTCAATTGCTCCTTTTGATTCGATCTTGTTTGTGAAGTACATCGGAGGAAAAATATCAGTCATATTGATATATGTGGATGATCTAATTATCACCGAGAGCCATGAAAAGGAGATCAATGAAATAAGATGTAATTTATCAATGAGGTTCCAAATGGAATAGCTTGGAGAACTACAACACTTCTTGGGCCTCGAGGTAGAACGAACTAAAGAAGGAATATTCTTATGTCAACAAAAGTATGCAAAAGACATACTTGAAAAGTTTGGGATGCGTGATTGCAAATCGATATCAACTTCTATAAAGCCAAATGTGAACATGTGAGCATTTGAAGGTCGAGAATTGGAGGACTCCACCATGTACAAACAACTTGTTGGAAGACTTATTTACCTAACCATCACGAGGCAAGATATCATGTTCGCAGTAGGAGTAGTGAGTCAGTTCATGGTGAAGTCAAGGAAGCCTCACTTAGATACAATACGTCGCCTACTGAGGTACATAAAAGGAACTTTGGAGTTTGGCATATTTTATAAAAGAGATGCATCATTTGATGTGGCAGGCTATTGTAATGCTGATTATGCAGGAGATCATGATACATGTCGCTCTACCACTAGTTACACATTGTCACGGACCCGGTCCGACCGGCCCGGCCCGCTACTGTGTGGGACCGGACCGGAAGACCGGTTTTGGTACCGACCTAGGCTCGACCCGGAGAGTATACCGGTGGCGGTCCCGTGGCCGGTTCGAGTTTGGTTCGGGCCTCTTTTTGTTTTTTTTTTTTGTTTTTTTGGGTTTGGGCTGGGTTTAGGTGGGTTGGGTGATTCCGAGGGGTTTGGGGATGGGGAGGATGGGGGAGTAGGGGTTGAAATAAATAATAAAACACAAAAAAAAATTAACCGGAACCGGTCCGACCCGGAACCGTTAGCCTACTGGCTGTTTCCAGTCCTTACCCAAAACCTTCCAGGCCCAAACCAGAACCGGATCGGGCCCGGTCCACCACTAGTTGCACATTTAGTCATGGTATGGGCACCGTGTGATGGTAGCAAAAGACCATCAACAGTGTCATCATCAACTACAGAAGCAGAATACAGAGCAGCAACAATGGCAACTCAAGAAAGTGCATGGTTGATAATCAGATACAAGCCCAATGATGTTGCGCTCATGAAGGAATGCATTCAGAAGTGTGACGGTCTGGGCGTGATCAACGGCGGCGTAGCTATTAAGCTGGAACGTCACGACACAATACTCAATAATCATCTTTGGAGTGTCGAATTCCTCATCGAAACGCCTCACCTCATCCACGTAGTATTCTCTTCTATTTGTTATCTTCTTCGGCATAAGTTAGAAATGCATTGAATATTCTTCTGATTATCCTACATGATGGGAAGGTTCTTAAACATTGTATCATCTTAGTTGTTGCATCTGTTGAGAGTTATGGGGTGTACTTGAAAATGGTTCCAAGTACAAGTAAATTTGTCTTGACAAATTGTCAGCTTTCTTCTTTCACCTGTTTGAAAATTTCACGATGTCTTGAGAAAGTTTCATAATTTCTTTCCAAACACATATACTTAAATTTTCTTATGAAGCAATACGGTTTTTTTTGTGTGCTATGTGGTATTAAATTGTACTTTTGGATAAAAAATCAAGTTAGAATGGGTTGATGCAAGTAAAGTATTTGTATTTCATGTTTAAATTGGTTTTTCTTGGCAATCTCGTGGCGCCAACGTGGTGCTTGACAAGCTTCCATTATTGTAATAAGTGTGATCTTAAAATTTAACCAATCTTTTGAAAAAAATGTTCTGGTGTTGTACACAACATCAGAAATTGGGAGCCAATCTATTGCATTTTTGTTTGGCTGCCAGCAGACACACAGCAAGTATGGAATGCTTACATATTTGTTTTTTAATACTCCCTTGTTTAAAAAAGGATTTGAAACTTTAATTATTTGCTAACACATTTTATTTTCTTTTCTGATTTTGAATATCAATTGTGTAATCATATTGGAATCTGGTTTTGAGGTATGGTAAAAAAATTAGTACCTATGTGTGCAAAGAGACACTTATTTAAAGGTCAAAAAACTTAAATGATATTACATGAGCACATCAGCGGTCCTTAAATAAATCAAGTAACACTTTATACCAAAGAAAGTTATGCAGGATAAGAAATACTTGGCATGCTAAAGACCAAAATAACCAAGATGTGTTATGATCTTCAGGAGTAGAAGTTGGATTAGCCAAAAGAGCTACCAAACCAGTGCCGATATGATTGAAGAGGATATAGTATAATGGAGGGTAGATGATCAAATAAGCTTGCTTGATTGTTAACAATCATCTAATGATACACATAGTGCTCAACTAGTAAGATGGAGATGATTCAGCAGGAGGAAAGATCAGATAAGCACATTAATGTGTGAAAGGGCAAAGTCGTGTTACCCAAACAATCTGTTGGATAATTATTTTTCCCGATTTCCTTTGGTGAATTCTGTCGATGATCTGAAATATTTGAGACACATGTTGAGGCCTGGCAGATGACAATGATATGGAACACACATCACAACAATCATTAAGTAACCTCAAAGAA